TTATTACTTTACTACAGAGATGCTGTGAATATAAATTTGACAATGCAAAAATTCATTTATTTCATGTGCTAATTTAGAGACTTTCTTAATATGTTTAATTATAAAGGGGAAAAAAAGCGTTGTAATTCATGTTCACTGAACCAAACATACTTCCGGCAGAGTGGAGAGATATTTGTCAAGACAACAGCAATGGCGGCGTTTGTGAGTAATGGCGATGTTCTATATCGGATCTGTTATTACAGTATTATTTGAAGCATTTTATATTTTCAGTGTTTAATAATCATGCTTTCTTCATTTGTGTACAGTTTTATGAATAGAGACAGTCTAGGGAATGTGATTTTCCTATAAACTTTTTTTTTGCTAAACGTGCCGAATCATTCATTTTTAGCATTTGGTACAGTTAATGACATAAAATACCAAATCAATAAATTGAAAACTTCCTGTTTTGTACTTGTGTTTGTTTGTGTGTTTCTTACTGTTTGTTTCACTCCTGTTTGTATGTTTTTCATTTACTAATACTGTCTTTTACTCAAACATTTTAATATTTATCTTAAAACGTACTGTAATTATGCAGGAAGGATGATGGATGGATGATTAATGGAAAAAGAAAGGCAATTTTAACATGATTAATTGTTCAGAAATCTGTTCTGAAAAATACATACACTAACTGCCCTTGAAACCCTTGTGTCAAAAAAAAAAAAAAAAAAAAAAAAAAAAAAAAAAATCTGAAACGTTTCAGATTTTAAATTACGTCCAAAGGGGCGTTTTTTAACATTTTGTGTGTTACCTTTCTTTATTAAATATCATGTTCCTCGCACTTAAACCATAAGATCCAGTGCAACAGCAATATCGCAAAATAGTTTTAAAACGAGCATATCTTTAGAATTTCCGATACAGAGACTCACGCGCTGGAGATAAAAATGTTTTTCTGCACAACGTTGCCATTGCTCGCTTTGAAATCCTTGAGTCTGTTAATCAAAAATTCGTCAAAGTTTTAAAAAATAGGAAATCGATCATAAAACAAATTTCAAATTTCAAATTTGGTCTTCCACATGCTCATATTCGTTGGAGGATTACGTTATTCAAAATTCGATGACTCTATGTACCGTTGTTTTATCACAATACGAGAAATATACATACATTTATGCAGATTTTTCATTATTTAATTTCTTCAAATATAATTCAGGACTCTAACATTTTGTGGCAACAGTTTGAAAAGTGAACCGACATTTATGAGTCCGACGCAAAATGCCAAAACGAAACTAATAGTCCTTCGGGATTCAAATCCCTTTGGACTAAATATTTAACATTCATTTATTTGTAAAATTCTATTTTTTATTTGTTTAGTATTTTTCCTAAAAATAATTTAATTTCTCATTTTTGAATTTAGTTTTATAAATATTTATCTCAATGTATAATCTTTAACTCAGAGATATCGTGCTTTTAAAAGAGGAAATTTTATGTGATAAAACACAGGTACTTTTGTTTCATATCTGTGTTCCTCTTTTTTATACTGAATTTTCATGAACTTGTAATTACTGAAATATATAAAGTTTTCTTTAAGTCCTTCATAAATCCATTCGTCTTTTGCTACTTTAGTTTGTCTGATTTTTGTTGTTTCAAATGAATTACCATAGTTAAAGAAATAAAATAAATTCAAGTAAGCTTGCCTTCCTTTCAGTTTTAAATAAATTAATAGATTTATTACTATTTACTGCAGCTTCAGGTTTCTCTACACATAATATTTTAAGTCAAAACTTTGACTATGTCGATTATTAGAAATGCATAAAATACACTCTTTTGCAAAAACCTGGCAGCATCAAGAAGGACTTTTGCGATCGTTACGAAATTTGGTATGCAAAACCATCTTGATAGAATATGCAAATGATCAAAGTTTCAAGGCAAATGAACAGGAATTGCGATCATAGCGCGCAATTCGCAAAGCATACAACTAGTAACAGAGGCGGAAACTTTATCTTTTTTTTTTTTTTTTTTTTTTTTTTTTTTTTTTTTTTTTTTTGTTTGCTGACATTGTAATTCCGTAAAGAAGCAACTAAAGATGCCATTACGACGATATCGAACACCTTACAAACAACTAAACGACTTCGACCGTGGTCGCACTGTAGGGTTGCGTGAAGCTGGGTGGTCATACCGAGCAATAGGCTACCACCTGCAGCGTACAGACACTGCTGTGCAAAGATATTGGCAGCAATGGTTGCTAGAAGGAAATTATTTACGAAATGAAGGTTCTGGAAGGTCAAGTATGACAAATCCGAGGCAAGATAGGATCATTGTTCGTCGAGCCCGTATCGCCTTAACGGTATCATTATCGATTATTCAACGCACTACAGTCATGTCTATACCTCCCGTGGTACCGTCCACCATCTCACGGTGCTTGTCTGAGGCGGGGTTACGTTCACAGAGGCCTTTAAGACGTTTGCCTTTGAACCCACAACATCGGCGGAGTCGTCTGAAGTGGTGTCGCAGCCGAACATCATGACTGCCATCAGACTGACATCGTATAATGTTCAGCGATGAATTCCGCTTCACTCTTGAAGCAGATGACCACCGTGTTCGTGCCTGGAGAGGACGGGGCCAACGGTCCCAATCAGCCTTTGTTTTACAAAGGCATACAACCATAACCTTCGCGTGATAGTGTGCGGCGCTATTTCTTATGACAGCAGGTCATCTTTAGTCATCCTCCGTATATCTTTACAGCTCAACGATATGTTGATACCATCCTGCGGCCGGTTGCATTACCCTTCATGGCACGCCATCCTGAGCCATTTTTCAACAAGATAATGCCAGGCCGCATACCGCTCGCATATCTCTGGACTGCCTCCGTGCGGTTGATACTCTTTCTTGGCCAGCAAGGTCACCAGACCTTTCACCTTGTCTGAAACATGGTAGGCCGCCAGATTCAGGCAACCCAAAATATCGCAGATCTGGAGCGACGACTGATGAATGCTTGGCAGAAAGTGTCGCAGAATGTCATTAGGAACCTCTATCACTCCTTGCCTCGACGAATTCAAGCATGCATTGCCGCCAGGGGCGTTTCGACCAACTACTCAGTAGGTGATTGTGAGCCGTGAACATGTACTATGACCTTGAAGTTTTAATATTTTTTTTTATCTGTGTATGAGCTATACACATATTGAATTTCATCCAAAACAACCACTTCCTTCACTGCTTTTTTTTTTTTTTTCAAAAGAGTATATTTATTGAAAAGTTAGTGTTTGATCTAAAATATCTTAAATTGTTTGAATTATATTTTATTAAATCTATGTATTTTGATATAGCTGGATATTTAAAAAATTAAATTGTAAATGTGCAGAAATGCTTGTATAAAATCAAGAAATTGCTGATATTTTTGTTGCCCTTTCCTTGTGAATTAAAAAAAAAAAAAAAAATTACAAATTGGTGTGGTGAGTCAGTGCTATGCTGAGTTGCAGTAAACAGGATATCCTGTCTACCAGACCATCAGAGAGGCAGATTTGGACTGAAATCATAATGGTACATTTGCTTAAATTAATACTGTTTGTTTATGAATGTAACAGAAGTAGATTCTAATAAGCTAAGGTATGATTTATTTTCTACTATTCTATTAATTTCGAAATGTAAATAATGCAACCAAAAATTTCTCTTTATAGTATTTCACTCAGTATACGTTGATGATATGTAAAATCATGTTGTTGTACGGAATGTTAGTTTTGCACAAGAAAGTTATTTTATTGATCTAACAACATCCGCATGAATCAAATTTTTTAAGAATTATTAAAAATTCTAAGTTAACTTAAAATTTTCACATTTAAAAAATATATGTATAATATAGCATTAGTTTTCTAAGGAATAGAAATCAGTAGCAATAGAAAAGGTTGTAAAATCTGTTCTGTTAATGGAGGGGGATAATTTAAATGAGATTGTCCTAATATAGTTTCAGTATGAAATGAAACTATGATTTCAGATTTTTAAGAAAAATAAGAAAACTACATTTTTGGATAGTGAAGATGAAATTTTCTACATTTAAGAATTCTAATAAAACTCTGATTAATGTAAATCCTGTAATGTATTGCAACAGAGCTAGAATGAACTATTTGTACTAAATATGTCGAAAATGCATGCTTTAAGTACTGATTATTTCCTAAAAATATTCTACATGTTTATTCTTTACAAGGAAAAAAAAAAACAAAAAGTAGCTACAAGCTATATTTACTATTTATTTATTTATTATTTGAAAGTTAAATTAAAAAAATAAAATCGGAAAGGTTTCAGATTTTAAATTACTTCCAAAGGGGCGTTTAATTAACGTTTTGTGTGTTACCTTTATTTATTAAATATCACCTTATTTGCACTTAAACTATAAAATTCAGTTCAATAGCAATGTCGCAAAATAATTTTAAAATGAGCATACCTTTAGAATTTCCGATACGCAGTTCCGCTCGCTGGAGATGAAAAGTGTTTTTTTTCGCCGTAGAGTGTTGCCATTGCTCGATTTTAAATCGTTGAGTTTGTTATTCAAAAATTCGTTAAAGGTTTACAAACTATAAAATCGATAATAAAACTTCATGTAGCATGTGGAATATGGGCATAGGGAAGAACAAATTTGAAATTTGGTCTTCCACATGCCCATATTCGTAGGAGGATTACGTCATTCAAAATTCGATGGCCCTGTCTACCGTTGTTTTATTTCAATGCGAGAAATATACATACATTTATGCAGATTTGTCAGTATTAATTTCTTTAAATATAGTGCAGGACTCTAACATTTGGTGGCAACAGTTTGAAAAGCTATTCGCCGTTTATAGTAAGTCAACGCAAATTCGCAAAACGAAAACAATAATCCTTCAGGGACTAAGCCCCTGTGGACTAATAATAAACTAATTTTCAAGAATGCAGTAAAATTAGATATGCATTCAGCTCTAGTAATTTTAGTTAATGATATTTTTCTATAGCAAATATGAATTTTTTGTGCAAGTATAATAATTTAATTTTTTTTCTAGAGATTGAAGCAAAGAATGTTATAGATAATACTACTCGTATTATGTATAGCCACGAAATCGTGTTGGATACGTTGCAAGGTAATTTTCTATTCTGCATTAGCTCAGTTAACCTTAATACACTGTTACAGATAATTTTTAGTATTCCCCATATGAGTAAATTTATGAAAAATATAATAAAAATGCAAAATATTAATTTAAAAATGACAAAGGTAAAGTTTAATTGAATTGAAAAAGTTGGAAATACTGTCTTTCTTTCTACGAGTTAAAAAATAACTTCAAATAAAATTTCTTGTTTTAGATTTTTATGTTATTTGTTCATTATTATTATCTAATTTATCATTTCTATTGAGGTCACGGACCTCGTTACCGCGCTCTTTATTTGTCATATTTACTCACATATTCTATCCCCCTTTTCCCTAATATATATTATGTATTTCGAAGGACTTATCAATTTCAGCAATAAGCTTTTTATATAAACAAATACTTTGGTATTTGTGTATATAGTATACATTGTTACCATGTGTCAATTTCTAAATGATATGCTGAAAAATTAAGGAAAAGAGGGGAAATATACAAATAAACTGCGGCATTTAGTGTTACTAGAATTCAATATTTAAACTAGAATTCAAAAAGTACCAAATACTATTAGCTTATATTTTATTTTAAACTGAACAGCTTCTTTGCACCCAAATAGGTGAAGCCTCCCAGAACTAGTACTTTGACATAACTTCTATTTCTTATAAATAGTTCAGCTGCATGGAGTTGTCCTTGTTGATGCCATGTGTAATGTAAACATGATAAGCTTCTTTTAAATATATCCTTCCTAAAACTATTCCACTAGGTAGATTTCTTTCGTAATTTATCTTAATTGAGTCATCCTGATAATTAAGAATTTATTAAAGTTAATATGTTAAGGGAAAATTTGGTAATGGCTATTAGCTATTAAAATGTATCATTTTACTCACATTGTTTCACTTAAATTATTGTGTGTTTAATTCATTTTACGTATGTGTAAGCAAATGCATACGCAGAACTATGTTTTGGGTATATAATACATTAATTTGTGGGCTGTTTTTTAGAAAATGTATTAATGATTTATACCCTATTCATACTGCTACAACATTTTGTGATTTTTACATAAATGAGCTATTTAAAATAGCTGCGTCAAGTGGCAGAGCAAGAAAATTCATGTGGATCATAAATTAATATTACATGGGATTTTTTTATTTATTTAATAAAGGAAAAATTTAAGCTACAAGTGAAGTTTTTTATTATTAAAAATTATTTGCATACAAATTTTACAGCAAATATTTCCTGCGAGTGAAATGAAAATTTTTATTTTGCCAAGACAAGGAATCTACATAGTGAAATCAGTAACCCTATTTTGAGATGTTAAAAGAGGAAGTTTTGAATTTAAATTGATTTTTGAAAGAAGACTTCAATCATTTAGCCTTGCTACGCGACATTTTACGGTAATTTATAATTTTATTGTTATTCATTTTTCTGTTTGTTTTCTTATTTTACTGAAAATGCTAATGATTGTAGACATAAAATATTTTATATTGCAAACTGATATACCCTTATTATAATACTTTTAATTGTGTATTGTTTTTTGGTTTATTGAAATGCGTAAAACAACCGTATATATGACTAATAAATGCATAAAATTTCCTGTAATAAATATGTTTTTATTACTTACGCAAAGTAAACAAAAGATAATTTTAACCATAAAACATCAGGAATGTAGTAATTTAAATTATTTGTAACTTCTGTTTTAAATAAAACAGCCAGAATATTTTAATCATCATCATGTACTAGATGATCAATTTATATTAGTTCAGATAGTATTAGGCTCTTGAATTTGCATTCTGTTTAACCTCATAAGTTAATTTCCTAAGCAAGCAGTTCTAGCACATCTTAGGTGTAAAATTTTATTATAATTTGTATTAATATTCTTGACAAAACAACAATGAATTCCCCCTTAAGCGAATTTAACTTGAAACTGAAAATTAATTTTAGTGTCTATGCTTTTAACTATAGCATTTTTAAGCATCCTTTGATTTATATTAAGTTCTTTATCTTTAAATTATTTTATTAAATGAAGATCTTACATTTTGCTAACAAATTTCATTCTAGTCCATTTCATATCCAAATGTTCTATTGGTCATGTTGCTAATTTAGTACATGCCTCTCCTTGCAGTTAATTAAAATAATTCACTCTGATATCTGTAAAACTTAAGCATGACATATTTAGATAAAATTTTCAACCACAGTATGTATATTTATAAGGTATTCTTATTTTGTTCTAATACATGATAGGCCAATTTTAAAAACAGAAAATATTTGCTTGTCTAAAAATTAAGTCAAAATATTTCCTTTTCATACATTTCATGTAATATGGAGAACTACATGTTAACTGAGTCATCCTTTTGTAAAATGATCGTGATGCTAAGCGAAATGTTTCTCTTTGGCTCTGTTCAAAAGGTTAAATAATGTATTTTAAAATAATTTCTTAATATTTAAGTATTACCAAATGAAGTAAAAAAATCATTCCTTTTTTTGAAAATTTCCTCATTTCTACTCTACAAACTCAACTTGATTTAATGTATATTTCTGTACTAGAAAGTAATCCTATATTGTGCAAATATTACATATTAAGTGTAATTTAAGTCATATAAAAATGCATATCTCAGATTATTATATGTAATTAAGGATGTGATAACTGCTGTTCCAATGAGCATAGAATAGCGAATGGTGTCATTTAGTTACTTTTTACTATTAGAGAAACGCTTCATAATAATGACAGTACTTTTATTTGAGTCAACCCATGTTCAAAATGTCACATTTATGAAAATTTTCATAATTGTACTTTAGGATTTGCATCCTTATGCTAATTATTTTCTAATATATACAAAAAGCTACCTTCCTGGTATCCACCTTTATTTCCATAATGTAAGTAAATCTTTCATTTATTTCGGTAATCTGCAAAGCAAAACAAGTTAATTCTGCTGCCCAGGTAGCAAACGTATGAAGGTTGTTTTTTACAAATTACAAACTGGTCGTCATGAGGGTAAGAAAACCGTTTTGTAGTAGCACTTTTATGAAAATTTCTCTGTTTCAAAAATTGACCGACTTGCATAAAGGTGTTGGCAACATAATGAAGCTGTCCGTTCTCAGCTATTGAAGATTCTGTCTGTCTTAGTATTAAGGTTGTAGAGTTGCGCGCCTCCAACCTGCACGCAACCAAGAGGTGACTGTTAAAACTGGAAATTAGACAGAGTCTTGCTAAGGGTTTAAGTCCCTTTTTATTCCACTTAAGAAATTACAATTGCGTGCTCTTGACGCTCACAAACTACGGCGACCCGGCGGTAAAATAAAAATAAGACCTGAAAAGAAATATTAACAAGACTCTAACTACGAGGCTCTCTAAACGTAACTAACCTCACCGCGTTTTGCAATACCGCTGCTAATTCAACAAACTTTGAATATCACGTTAAACGATTAACAATTCTCCGAGACAAGCACACAGGCCAAAACGCGGGGTTCTTCAATTTCTGGCTAACTACCTCCGCGCTCGTGAAGTAAGAACAGCACAGTTCGAACTCGTTTCCTTTCTATTTAACTCAGAATACTTCCGCTGATAATTTGAATCCTTGCACGTTCTACTAAAATTTACATACTCTGGCATTGGCAGTTCCAGGGGAAAGTAAGGCTTGACAGGAAAGATAGTTTAAACTTAAAATAAATGTTAGTTAAAATAAATATAAACCCTACATTTGCCGCTGCCAGAATTTGGAAAACTTGAAAGCAGGTCCTACAAACGACCTGTTGTAAAGTTTCTACAATTCTGAACTAACTCTTAAGAGCCTCGTTTACACAAAAAAATCTTATGTAATAAAAGGTATACTAAATTTCTGTAGATTTTTATATAAATCTCTCTTCTTACAGCAACTTTTCCTGGACTTCAGCAATCAATCTTGTTCTTTTCCTTCCAGCATCTGGAAGGAATAAGTATCAGTATCTTTCTAAATACATTATAATTTACACTTTCTTGACACTGAATAAATTTTTGTTTTTAAACGATTCGTTTTCCTTAGTTACTGCTTAATTCACATTCATTCACTTATTCAAACATTAATTTAACTTTACCCTGGCTCTCCACCATGTGTGGTGTAAAACGGGAATATTCGTGTTTTAGTTTTACAACACTTCCCTAACCACCATGATTTGTTAGAATTCAACGACCAAATAGACACACCTTACTCGACATTCTACAACTCGATGAGCTACTTTAAAATTCTTAAAATTGAAGTGTAGGTGGAGAACCCTACAAAACACATTCATTCTAACTTCCCCCTTATTCATCTTTAGACATGCAGGCTTTCGCTCTAAAGCATGATTATATCTACAGTTTAATACTTAGGGTTTAATACTTATAGGTGGAGCACCCTACAAAACACATTCATTCTAACTTCCCCGTCATTCATCTTTAGACATGCAGACTTTCGCTCTAAAGCATGATTTTATCTACAGTTTAATACTTAAATTCGAATTCATTGCTTTTAAGCATCTACTTTTAGCATCTAAAATTTTATGCTTCTAGACTAAATTCTACTTTTACATAACTTTCAAGTATTTACGTATATTTACGAAATTTTAATACATATGCTTTTTACAATTTACCATAAAATGAATAAGAGAAAATACATTTTTACTTTACTCATTCTTCGCCAAGCTGGCGGCACTGAAACTAAAATTCTTATTAATACAAGAATACGAAGTTATTTTTATCTTCGGCCAAATTTTGGCTTTAACATAACAGAATTAGTCTTTCGACCAACAGAAACTGCTTTTTCTTAGATTTTATACTTAAAGAAAATGATACTTTTGCCTTAGCTAAATAAAGTAAAACAAAACTAAGTCTCAACCGAGACACATTGACTTACGTCAAAATATAGAAATTCGTATATACGCATAACATTTTGGAACAAAAGAAAAAAAAATATAGAAGATTTTAACTTATCTTTGAGTTTTCGATGAGTGGAACTCCGCCATTCTTTTCTGGCAGAACTGCTCACACGTTATAGGTTTCATGGACGTCAGTCTTCTCCTTAATGACCTCCGAGTGTCGTTCACGTTAATTTTTCTTTTTCGCCCTCTGCATGCTGGCCTCTTGGCGTAGCAATCGTCGGGTTGCTGTCTTTTTTGTTTTTCCCTTGGACGGCTGGTCTTGACGTCCTCAGGTCTGGAGTCCTTCTTGAATTTCTTCTGTTGTTGCTGTTCTTTTCGTTCCTCCTGCTGTCTTTTTAGTTTCCGGAACGGCGGCCTTGTTTGCAATTGACTCTTTCGCCGTGGGAGCGTTCTCCTTGATGTATAATTTCTACTGCGATACGTTGTAGGTGGTGTTTTCCTCTTTACCAAGGTTTCTTTACGCAGTGGCTTTCCATTCTTGTTTTTCTTAAATGCTGGAGTCTGAAAATTTTCGTTTTTTCTTTTCGGTACCGTCGCCTGGGTTGCAGAAGGGCTAGGTCTCTCTTCAGTTCTCTGCTTCTTGGGTGGTGGAACGAGTGACGTTATTTCTGGACCTTCTACTTCTTTTACGCTTGAGTCCTGCAAGAAACTTTTAAGGATTTCAAAATCATTTTGATTATAGTATTTTTTCACCTGGTCGGCAGTTGCTTTATAGATTTCCCCCTCTCTCGTTCTTAAGGTACAATACTACTCCTTTGATTTCCGGAATTACATAGGGGCCTTCACATTTTGGAGCTAACTTTGCAGTAAAATTGTCTGGGGCACTTGATAAACAAAATTTCCGCTTCAATACTTTATCCCCAACTTTAAAATCTGCTTCACGGCGTTTTCTATGGTAATATATTTTTTTGCTTATTTCTTGCCGTATCCGAGATTTTAATTCCCTGATCAATAAGTTTTTTTGTTTTTGCACATCTTTCTGTTTTTAAACTCTTGCTCTCTTTGTTTGCACAAAGAATAATTTATCTAAAGGCGTAATTAACATTCGGCCTAAAAATAATTCTGCTGGGGATTTTCCCGTAGTATCGTGATTTGCCGTTTTTAAAGCATAAGCTAATTCATTTATGTAGCCATCCCAGCGCTTGTGATGTGTGCTAACGTAACTGCGAATTATTTTTACAATGTTTTTATTCACTCTTTCTGCTATGTTTGCCTGTGGTCTTATACGGAATCATTTTGATATGGCGTATGCCAAGTCCAGTGCATATGTTTTCAAATATTTGACTAATGAATTGTTTTCCATTATCGCTAATGAATTTTATCGGTGCACCGTATTTTAAGATGTATCTGTGTAAGAATGCATCTGCGACTGTTTTGGCTGACGCGCGTTTAAGTGGAACAATTTCTGTCCATTTTGCAAGGTGATCTACAATTACTAAAAGAAAACGATTTTTATTTAACTCGCTCTGGGAGAAGGGACCAAGAAGATCTATGCCTAAAATTTCATTCAGAAATGTAGCGCGAATGCTATTTTAAGTACCCGGCGGCGGCTGTAATTAATATCATTTATTAACTGACATTGATTGCAGGACCTGACAAACGCAGTTTACTATTTTGTTTAATTGCGGGAAATATACCGCCTCGCGTACCCTTTTTAAAGTCTTTCTGACCCCTAAATGACCCGCTGTTTTCGCGTCGTGTAATTCCTTCAAAATGCTTAATCGAAGCGAGGCTGGGATGATTGGTTTGTACTCGAGATTTTCGTTTATTGTTTTCGTATAAAATAATAAATTATCTATTATTTCATAGTTTTTTCTCTATTTTTTATCGCATCGATATCTGTGTGCTCAAAGCTTTCGGGGTCTTTCAAATAAGCATAGATATTTCCAAATTAAGGATCAGCTTTCAGTTCAGTTATAATTGTATCTCTAGAATCTAAAATTTTTGAAGTCAACACAGCGCATTTAAGTTCATTTCCTTTCATCGTCCAGTTTTATACGAGAAAGTGCGTCGCTACATTGTTTTCCTTATCCGGTTTATATTTAATTATTGAGGATTATACTCTTGGAAGTTTTAAAGCATATCTTATTAACCTGGGCGTTAGGTTTTTCCCCGAGTAAATTCTACCAATAACCGCATGTTCCGAAAAGACTGTTACTGGCGCTTTGCCGAAATATAAACTCGAAATTTAGTGTACAGCCATTAATACGGCTAATGTTTCTCTCTTCGTAGCTGTATAATTCCTTTGCGTCTGAATTAAAACGTTTTACTAAAAAATGCCAAGAGGAATGCCCTATTCTGCATGAGAACCGCACCCTACGGCAGAGTTCGACGCATCTGCTGCAATTTTCCAGGTTTTCAGTTCCCCTTCCGGGAATTTCAAAACAGGGGCATTGATGAGTGCTTCTTTTAATCTTTCAAATGCGGTATTTGCTTCCGCTGTCGACGTAAATTTACTTTTCTTTCTTTTAATTACTAACAGGGGTTCAACAATATTAGCGAAATCTTTTATGAAAGACCGATAGTAAGAACATAACCCAAGGAAAAAGAAGAAAGTTTCTTGGCGGTTGGGCGGTGGGAAATTCTTGATTGCTTTTTATTTTTGAATCTTGCGTTTCTATACCCTTTTGCGAAATTTTTATAACCAAGATATTTAAGTTTTTTGTTGCAAACTTGCATTTTGAGGCGTTAATTGTAAGACCGCCTCTTTTAATAATTTTTTAAAAACTTGTTCTAGATCTTTAATATGTTATTCCTAACGTACTACTCGTTATAATTATATCATCTAGATATATTAAAGTCGATTTTCCTAGGACAGGCTTTTAGAATAATGTCCATAGCTCTCTGGAATGTTGATGGGGCCCCACAAACAACCCAAAGGCCATGCGTAAAAATGCATAAGTGCCCGATTTTTTTTTAAAACGCGGTTTTTTATGTATGTCTTCGGGTCTCATAGCTATTTGATAGTAGCCAGATGTTAAGTCCAAAGTAGTCATATATCTAGTAGATTTGATCTTTCTAATAATTTCCTCTACAACCGGCAAAGGGTAAACTGGGAATTTAGTAATACTATTCAGTTTTCTGTAATCGTTAGCAAACCTCCAAGCCCTTTTATCCGAAGGAGGAAACTCGTTCTTTTTCCCACATAGTACGACTGGACTCGCGTACTCACTATTTATGGGCTTTATTATTTTATTCTTTAACATCTCCTGAATATGTTCTTCGATGATTATGTCTTTGTGTTTATCATAACGATACGGTTTAGTCCTACAAGGTTTTTCGGCAGTTAACTGTATCTCATGCGTAACTATTTGACAGATACCAGGCTTTTCTGAAAACAAGTTTGAAAAATTACTCACCATTTGCTGGATGGCTTGACTTTCATGGTCATTCAAATGGCTAAGGTCAACTTGCGGTTGTTCCACAGGTTCCACCACCCTCTGGTCCATCACCAGCACAACAGAACTGTCCTTGAAAATTCAGTTTGGCCCTCGCGGCCCTTTTAAAACAAACTCCATATTTAAAAATAAGAGGATTTTGCAGATTCTTCACTACGAAAATTAATACTTTGAGGCTTTCCTCTTTTTACCTGTATGTTTAATGATAATTTCCCGATGCAGTGACAGGGTTTTTCCTTTGCTCCGCTATAAAATTTCCGTATTTTTGTTTTTAAATAATCGTAACCTATAAAAATTCTTTTTGAAGAATGTTTCGCTAATAAAATTACCTTCTGCTCCTGTATCGATGAGGGCTTCTACTGGTACATCGCCAACCAGGACTTGTATAATTGGTAGATGTGATTTCTTTACTATGACCGTATTTAAATGTCTTTTTGAGGGTTTTTAAAAACTTCCGGAGCCTGAACCCTCGCTTTCACAGGCCCCTCTACTCGTTTAAAGCTTTCCTTTCAACTTCTGCCTTCTGGGTACGCGGATGTTTGTTTTCGAATTACCATTTTGGGCCTTGACCTTCGAGGTTCGATGAGTTAGCTTGATAGCTCTTTCCCCCATAAGAGCGATTTGCATTTCTGGTTTGCTCATTTGAAGATTGCCTTCGGGTACTTTGAGAATACGATGCCCCTCTAGCTTTTTCGGCTATTCTGCGATTTTGAAACTTCACCCCCAATTCGAAGAGCTCCTGCAATGTGCATGGGTTTCTAATTTCGAAGTAGTCTTGAACAGCAGGTAACAATCTTGGTAAGATTATTTCAATAATCTCCGCGTCGGGTTTCTTCCCATACAGCATATCCGTCAGTTTAATTTTTCGCAGAATAAAGTCCGTCAACTCTTCTATATTCCGTTGATAGAAACTGTATAGTTTCTATCAACGATTTCTATCAAACTAGCCTTGCTCGATCTTTCACTATGGGGAAGGCCTTTAATAACGATTTTTTGAAATTTTCAAATGTATATGTCTGGCTTCCAAATTCCCCTAATAAAGATTTGCCTATATTCTTCCACCATAGCGCGGCCTGTCCTCTTAGTGCAGATGTGGCGATGGCAACTTTTTGTCTTTCAGGCACAGGGTAGAGCTAAAAGTGATTTTCTAGGCCTACTAGAAATATCGCCACCGATTTTTTTCCGTCGAAATTGACGTTTGGCTTGATTGACGCTCTCAAAGTCTGGACCAGCTATCCAAATCCCTCCAATTGGCTTGCCATTTCTTGGTGTTGTCCCGCGGCTTCCATCCCATTTTCGGCCATTTCAGTTCGACAAGTTTTCGGGCGCCAAATGTAGAGTTGGCACGCCTCCAACCTGCACGCAACCAAGAGGTGACTGTTGAAACTGGAATTTAGACAATTTAGACAGAATCTTGCTAAAGGGTTTTTTTAAGTCATTTTTTATTCAACTTAAGAAATTACAATTGCGTGCTCTTGACGCTCACAAACTACGGCGACCCGGCGGTTTTAATAAAATAAAAATATAAGAACTTGAAAAAGAAATAATAACAAGACTCTAAACTACGAGGCTCTCTCTAAACGTAACTAACCTCACCGCGTTTTACAATACCTCTGCTAATTCAGCAAACTTTGAATATGACGTTGAACGATTAACAATTCTCCGAGGCAAGCAAGCACACAGACCGAAACGCGGGGTTCTTCAATTTCTGGCTAACTACCTCCGCGCTCGTGAAGTAAGAACAGCACATCTCGAACTCAATTCCTTTCTATTTTTAACTCAGAATACTTCCGCTGATAATTTGATCTCCTTGCGCGTTCTACTAAAATTTACATACTCTGGCATTGGCAGTTCCAGGGGAAAGTAAGGCTTGACAGGAAAGATAGTTTATACTTAAAATAAATGTTAGTTAAAATAAATATAAACCCTACGAGGTTTTTATTTAAATAAGCATTTAAATATTCTCAGAATAAAAGAATAGAGGAATAAATGTTAAAATAGCCATTATGTGGGAGATATTTAGAGAATACTATTAATTATTTTCGTTTATAATATAATTCATAGCATTAAAGGAAGGTGAATGTTTTACCTCTACTGTATTTGGCAGTGAGAAAGGGTGTTTTGTTGTTAAATAATTCTTGTTTGTATTGTTATGAAAGGATACGAGTTACACTGAAGTATTATTTATTGGCATATGTAGCATAAACATTATATTCATTTGTTACATTATTTACTACTCCTATAAAAACTTAGTTATGCCAGTTCCGCTGTCAGCATTTGAATTTAATATTTAATGCTTAATTTGCTGTTACTGAAATTAAAAAAAATATATATGTTTACGTTCCTCGTATTAGAATGGCGCCGACATGGATGACGCAGTTTCGTTTTTAAATATCCTTAATAAATTCAACGACTCTTGGTGTATTTAAATCAAACTGAAGACATTTAATGATATAAAATTCACACGTAAAGATTTAGTAATAATTCAGCAGTACAGATAAGCATACAATAAGAATTTATAACAGTTACAGGTCAGCTACGCTTTTAGCGACCGAATTCTACGAACGACAAATCTCAAAAGCGTGTTGCCAAAGCAGGGCAACGAAAATTAATTTGACAGGCGTGAAAGTGAACAATATATATGTAGCAGTTTTCAATATTCAATATTTTCAATTTTCAATATTTATTAATTTTCATTAATATTTTGGTAAGGTTTATCTTACTAATTATTGTCTTTGCTTATATTTCAGATGAGGAATTTGGAAAAATGAATTTGGTTTTCTATTGCTTTTATATTTTTGTGAAGACTTGTAAAATTTTGAAATTTAATGTAGAAGTAGGTAATTAAAATAATGTCTGTTAATATCATGGCTTCATCATTTTAATAACAACAGGTAAAATTAGAAACAAATTTAATATATGAATAATCAATCATTAATTATAATTCATTCTTTCTAAAGGTTTTAGAAATAACACTGAAATCATAACACGTCATTAAGTTTTCAAAAATTAGCCTATCCAAGCATTAAACATGAAATTGTCCTTTTCATAATAATGTTTTACGTTAAGGTACCTAAAACAAATAAAATTCAATTGAACAGAAATGTAAATGACATAATACATTTTAGGATTGAGTATTTTTATAATTACTGTTATTATTTTTGTTGAACTGAAAAGAGGATCATTCCAAGTTAAGAATGAAAAAGCACCATGTGTAGGGTGCATTTTAGTTTACATTGAATGGCTTTTAAATTCTATTGACTTTTCTCTGAATAATAACATTAAAAGTCTTTTAAGCAGTCACTATTTCTAATTTATGTATTCTTTGTTATTATTTATTTAAACTGGATTTTAATTTACAAGAGACATATCAAACCATAATTTTAGAGACTGATACTACATCAATTAGTATATATTATTTTTCAATGGTCAAAATATTTATAATATTAAGGCATTGGCTCAACAAAAATGACTTAAAGAAAAAATAAAATTTCTGGTAGGTTTCGCTATATCTTGAAAACACCATTAGCTGTGAGACATTAAATTAACGAAACAGTAAAATAAATACGAAAATAAAATGATCATTAACACTAGAAGCGAAATGACGGGTTCTTCGTTTTTTCGAGAAACAATGTTTTGCTATCGTTTTCGAGGTATTATGAAATATCTAAGATTGGATTTGAAGTCAAATATAACTCACCGTTTAGGAACGGATAAGTTTGCTTTTTTTCAGATATTAGATAAACATTTATACAGAACTGTGCGATTTCCTATGAGCCAGAAGAAAATATAATTGAGGATGAGGAGTTATTTCCTTCCAAAGCCAAGTGTAAGTTTGTACATGTATGTAAATGTTGCACATGTATGTTGTATGCCGAATAAACCAGACAAATTCGGTATCAAATTTTGGATGCTAGCCTATGTAGAGTATGTAGTTTATGTGCTATGCTTTTCCATAAAATGGGAAATCTACATCGAGAAGTGAAACTGAAAGTATTTGTGAAAATACACTAATGCGTCTTCTAAGTCGTTATCTTAATTCAAGTAGATATTCTACTGCGGACAATTATTTTTCCTCACTATCATTACCTAAAAGACTTAAAATGAAAAGCAAAAGTTTTACGGGCAAGGTAAGAAGACATCGAAAAGAAATCCCGCATGAAGTAAGAAAATCAGAATCCCGGCTATTTGAAATAGTTTTGCTAAAGAATGGTGAAAATACACTGAAAAAAAAAATAAAAATGTCCTACTACTAAGCACTTTACATCCGGGAGTTTAATTGTGTGTTGACTCACAAAATACGAATAAACTTCCAGAAACAGTCTACAACAAAATGTGGAGTTGATATCCTTGACCATTCGAGGATTCTGTTCGAATATTCTGTTCGAGCTGCTTCACATAGATAGCCTATGTATGTTTTCTATAATATGCTGGATTTAGCAGGAACGAAGCCTACGTTATCTACCATAAATTGAGTGATAAAATTAATGCAAGGCATAGCTTTCTCTGTAAGGATCTTAAGTTTTACTAACGTTTATTTTATTTTCAAATTGTACTATAACTTCTTATTTTCTACTTCCGGCTAGAATTAAATGTGTTAACTTGTTTATGCAAATTGTACTTGCTAACGTCCAAGTTGTGGCTTTTTGCCAAGAGTTAGAGAGAGAGAGAAAGTGAGCCGCCTTGCTGCTGCATTTTGTACGAGTTTTTAATCAGTTGCTGCTTGTCTTTAAGGCCAGAGGTTTAATCCTCTTAACATTGAAATCGTATTGTAGTTTCGGCAGTTTGCGTACTACATACGTAATCTTTTAAAAGGCCAGTCTTAGTGCTAAGCATTTGTAAAGTAATGCAAAGTTAACTCTTATTTAGAATTTTAGTTAGTAGTATTATATCCTTACGTTCAGACCACAAAATAGTTGATCTCTGTATCCCAAAGCGCGGGAATACCTGTAATCTTATAGAGAATAAAGAGTAAAGTAAACCCTTCCTGTTTGTATCGTTCAATTCCACACATACTTGAACATAGCTTGAGTAAGCTCGCCGTTCCTATTCAGGACACATCATATTCCCTAAACAAGTCAAAATACATACGAGTCCTGACACCTCTTCAATTAGCAGAAGAGTTAAAACAGCTTCATTTAAACAATGTAATGTTCTGTAATATACGAAGTAAAAAATTGTGAATATTTACATATATGCGCTAAATATACGTACGTTTTCACCAAAAATATACGTAAATCCTTAAAATGTACGTATATTGTATGTAAAAACTGTGAATAAAGCGCGATGGCTTACATGAATATACCTAAATTGTACGTATATTGTAATTTAAAAATATATGTAAATATCTACTATTTTTCCCGGACACTTTTTATGATATTTTTACGTTCAAGATTTACGTTTTCTGTAAAAATTAACATTCATATATTGCGCGTATTTTTCGCGTGCAGTTTACGAATGCAAGTTGCCTGGGACGTGTTAAATAGGTTTGTTTTGGAACGTCAAACAAGTTTGTACTTACTATACTCATTAATGTAAGACCGGCATGTAGAATGTAAAGTGAGACTGGGACTCAGATATTTCTTAGTATATACTTTATGAAAATACTGGAAAGGAAAAATGAGTGCATTATTTCTGACTTTATAGCTGGAATTCATTTTCGCTGAGTACCTGCATATATCTCAGCTAGAATATATCTCAGCTAGAATCTTTGAATAATTTGGCATAAAATGTTGTGATCGTGTGAGTGAAGGTTAAAAATTTAGTTCATCAAAGTATTTAATTTTAATGCATGTATTATGGGGGAAACGTATCTCCATATCGATATAATAAAAAAATCCTTCTTTTATATTAAGTATGATACAGATTTTTCAGTCTGAGTTTCTAGTTAAGTTTAATACTGATATATTTTACTTCTTTAGTCTGAGTTTCTAACTAAGCATAACATTGATTCTGAGGCACTGAAGAGTACATCCGTCAGTAATCTGCATTGTACATGTAGCTTTGATGTATACCTCTGCAAGATTTTCAATATTTTATTGGTTGTATATAAATCAATAAACAAATCTGAAGTTAAAGTAAACTGTACATAAGCACAAAATATAAAAAAATCAATTTATATACACATTACTTAGTTTTATAAGATTTGAATAAATGTTTATAATAGTTAGTAATTTTATAAATGTTCTAATTTAAAAGGTATTATTTTTAATAATTGGAGTTAGAGCATATACACAGTTTATTGGTTGACTGACTAACTGTACATGATATTACAATAAATGTAAGAATTACCACAGTTTGAAAAAATATGCCACAATGTTCTCAAAATAAAGGAATATATTCTTTAAGGAAAAAATATGTAAGAAATTTAATCCAATAAAAATATTATTAAAGAAAATATTTTTTCTGCCAAAAAAATAAGTCCGAAGTTGAAAAAAAATTAGAAAACTATTTAAATGCACCAAGCTCTTTTTAGAAGAGTGAACAAATTAATATACTCTAAGAATCTGTAAAGTTTGAGAGAATTTATAAGGGAATCTCCTCGGTTTGCTTTCTTTAGTTACCGTAAGAAAATTATTGACTCCATTATTCATTAAGTTAAAATTAGATAAGAATTTCGCATATGCTTGAAAGGAAAGAAAACATTTTTCTAACCAGAAAAACTGTTTCTTTCTTGAAATAAAATGCTATATTAAGCATTCTTAGAAGAAATATCTATTGAAAGAATTTTGTAATATAGAACCTAGCAGAATGTATTCCTTTTTTTACAATGTGTTAGATTGCCGTGATTAGTCAGTCTGAAATAAATAGGAAGACTCTGACCTTATAATAAAAAGTCTGATGTGGACATTGCATGACTTCCATGCACGGGGAATTTAATTATTCCCATTTTTGCTGCAGTTTACTTAAATTTATTTCCTCGAATTATTCTAACTTAATTAACAGATTCATCAATGTAAGTCTAAAACGACATCAAAAATTGCAAACATTGAAATTAAATATCCCGATCAATTTTTGTCGTATGGTACCTCCAATTTTCAAAGCGTATACTCGATTTTAAGATTGGATTTATGCTTTCCGTTTTAATTTTCTCATTTTCATTTCCCATGGCGGATATTTGCCTCGTTCTCATTCCCGAGTCATACAATAGCTAGCCGTATGCGCCATTAATTCCATCCCTTACAGAATTGGTGTCTAATATAAAATAATTAATATTCTGAATAAAGTACGAATGGATTGTCAGTAAACAAGGATTAAAGCCATAAATCACTGCCTCCTTGATGATACAATTTTTTTTTTTTTTTTTTTTTTTTTTTTTTTTTTTTTTTTACAGAATGGGCTGTTTGAACATAATTTAAAGAAGTACCAGCTTGCCTATGAAAATTCTTCCTGAAGGTATATCTTATAAGACAACAGCACACGATTACTTTGTTTTTAAAGAAAGACACCCAACCTGAATCCCACTGAAATTTAAATTCACTAAATTTAATCGAATAATTAAGTTTAAGTTATAATAAGTACTCGAGAAAAAAAATCACCAGTCACTAACCAACCAGATATTGATTAATGGGCTCAGTTTTCAGGAGAAAGTGTTAAAAGTTTGGATTTCGAGTTAAAACTAATCGTTATAAACTAATCCTTCAAAGAAGTATTTTTCCATTGTCAAATCTGAAAACGAATATACTTTTTTTTTTAATCTTTAAAGCGTAGCATTATGCAGGTAACAAGTATTTTGTAAGATTTTTAGAGAAAATATGGAATATAATATCTGATTATATCATTCATATACTATTCCTCTCAATAATAGTT